ATCCAGCATTACCTGATCAGCAATTCAAATTGCTTGTAACAGGAGATCGGTATTATAAAACTTATAAACGCTAAACCAAAGTCAAAATACAATTACCGGTAAAGGAAATGAATCAACATACACTACTAGCAATTAATATAGAGAAATTAATTTTATTGCATATGAAAATGATAGTAAAATAATATATTTTAATACTCAAAAGAAGATGCATTTCAGAAGAAATTATATAATTTTATTTCACCTTGCAGACCACTGAATTGTTGCCTTAAAAAAATAGTTAACGTAGTGACCTTGGTAGTGACCAGATTCAGAACTGAATATTTTGCAAATCAAAGTTATTGCATTCCTTTCCACTTGAAATAAAAAATCATTCTTTTTTTTCTGGAACTGGCATGCAACATTTTCGTGGTCTTCAGAGAATGTAGGAATTGGTATAATTAAAACGATAATTATGTTTTACATGTCATATAAAAACCCATAATGCAATGCAACTATTGTGGAGAAATAACTCAATATACCCATGCCTGTGTTGTATCTGTCAGTACAGAGTGAGAATCAAGACACTTTAGTTCGGGTCAAAAATTACCACAGAAATGAAAAAAAAATAATACTTTCAGCCAGAATAATCAGCATCGCAAAATGTTAAAAGATTAGAATATGAAAATAATGCAGCAATACTTTAACCGTAAATTTTATAAAACTGGAGAGAATAATTTGTAATTTGTAATTGATGTCTGGCAGTAATTATTATTCACGTCACATACAAATGTTAATACACTTTTCCCATAAATCGTGATCTCTAGTGACGAAATGCTACCATGCCTTGTATAGAGAATTCGAAGCATCGATATCGATTATTTTCCATCAATGAAGACTTGATTTAGTGTTTTTACTTCTAAATAACGAACGACTACACAACCAAACACAGCGGCCGAATTGAACAACACTGCTGTCACCCATATACCTAATTTGACTGAAGCGATCCATCATTAGATAGCGTGAAATATAGGGATGGTGTATTATTGATAATTATCGTTTGCACATTTGGCATTACAGGGGTTATTTTGGGTCAGTCAGCAAAAGCACAGCTCATGACCTTGTAATTTACAATATAAGAAATTTACAATACCAGATACCTCATGTATCTGCTTATCCAACCAGAAAGGCATCTTAAATGCCCAAAGACTACATTGTAGGTATATATTTGTACATAAATTAACACAATTAATGAAATACAGGCAATTTAACATACAAATTCCACACTTTCACTGCCAAATTTCTCTGAGAAAAAAGAGAATTTTGAGAGCTCTTCATAAACTATTGGATCAAACCATGCAATATGTTGGAAAGATCAAGGGCAACATCTAAAAGAGGTGTAGTATCTGCCCCCCTTTTTTGTAAATGGTTTCACCTGGTAATAAAATAATTCCATAATTATTAAATATTACTGCGACAATAATGTGTCATATAAAGAAAATAACTTAAAATATTAATTTAAATTCACATTAACCGTACAACAAATGCTGTCAACTGTTGCAATGAATTATCACGATTTGAGTCAAAATCCACTGTGACTCCCTAAAATCTCAGTAAAAGTCACTGTGACTCCCTAAAATCTCAGTAAAATCCATTGTAGCTCCCTAAAATCTCAGTAAAATCCACTGTGACTCCCTAAAATCTCAGTAAAAGTCACTGTGACTCCCTAAAATCTCAGTAAAAGTCACTGTGACTCTCTAAAACCCCAGTAAACGTCACAGACATTTTAGAACCCCCATGAAAGTCAGTACGACTCTCTGGGACCTGCGACTCTTGAGTTTGAGAATCACAGTGATTGCTCACTACTAAAAAATTTTGCACCCCCCCTCCAGAGAATTCAACTCTGACAACAATAAAGAGATATAAATTGCACCACAGAGTAGCACATTAATTGCAACACAAACAATGCTGCGGAATAAAAAAAAAACATTTATCTACATTCACACATCTGGCAAAACATTTTGAAATTATTAACAATATCTTTTCAGCCAAACTGAAGCTTTTATTGGTTTGAACAAACCGGAAATTATCAGTCTTACGGTAGTGATGTGAGGACATCTCGTATTGATTTGATATTTAATTTAATCGATCTGTGTGACCAAGTATTGACATATATGGCAATGATTCTGAAAGCTTGTATATTGAATGTTTGATGAATGTAGCAAGCTTACGTATTGCACTACTGTAGAATACTTACTTTATTTTCGCTAAGGAAATGATTCAGTGATAATAAAATCCAGCTAATAAACTTTTTTTCCTATATTTCACATTCAACTAATATAAAATCAGTGAAAATAAATTCCATACAAAACACCCAAAAAGTCTTATCAGCGAAAATTAATTCCAGCTAAAATAAAGTATTTTACAGTATTTATCAAGCGAGTTATTATTTATCTTCACTAAATGCTATTTGAATTCCGTTTGGAAGTGTGCTATTAACCTCAACTAACCAAGGAAGTATGTAATGTTTTATGTTCATTTGGAAAATGTCAGTATATGTCAAGATGATGAGCCAACTGTTATTTCCTCACTTTAAAAAAACAGTGGATTTCTTTAGAGTAATACAATGTCAGACTGCAAGGATAATGCCAAATGATGTTACTATGGTAACCAATGATTTGATTCAAAAATTAGGACAGGATTTATAAGCATATAGTGTAAAATTTAATTATGATACCTTTGAACGCCATATTTTTTTTTACCAAAATATTGATGTAACATTTTCTATAAATTTTCATTTTGTTCGTTTAATACAGGGTTTAAAAATTTTGTAAAAATTACGCAGGTTTATTTTGTGAAAGTTGACAATTGCAGCTCAGAGAATTAAAATCTACTCTTTAACCATGGGATTCATAAAACATGGTAAACTGGTACATAGACTTGTGTCTAAAGATGTCAAGATTTCATTAAAGTAAATCACATGGGTTATGAGATTTTTTTTTAATGGCAAGTTTCAGTAATCAAAATGGTTACTTTGAATGTATTGAAAATAAATTATATGATAGAAAAACTATGCTATGATTTGGGATCGATTGCCATAACAACACATTCTTGATCTTGAAGTTACAGAAAATATCTGTTTATCATCCCTTGGCTACATCTCAAGTTATTCTATACTTTTGAAACAACGATGAACATTTTTATGTATTTAAAACGAATTTCATTTCAACTATGACCCAAATAGCTTTTCATTGACTGCAGATTCATTTTGTGTGGGATGACACAATTCAGCTTTGGTAAGAATGAAAACCAATATTAAAGTTACATCAGACTTAGATTTAATATTAATATTTTGAAAAATTATACATGAGAAACTAAATTAAAAATGTCTTGCACCTGCTGTGTTTGAAAAGATTGTATTTATGATATAAATTTGGTCACCATCTACAAATAAATTTAAAATAATAAAAGTCAAAATTGTTAAGGAAACTTTTGATTAAAACAATTTCTTGGAAAAAAAATTTACAATTATACCTCACTTATCACCAGTTAATTATACTAAATTACTTTAATTAAAGGAAAGGTAAATAAACTTACGAAATAAATTAAAAAGTAATTAATAAAATAGCAATGGGAAATAACTTACTTCAAATGAAATTGTGACCACTGACTTTTCAAAATGTCTCTCCCGATGTCGGGCAGGAGTTTACGAGCAATTTTTAAAATCTCCAAAGCAGTGTTTCCCCTAAGCTTTCACTTTGCAAAATTTTCGCAGTGGGGGCAAGTTTTTCAGTGAAATTGAAAAATTTCTTTCATGTTGATGCTTAATGTATTAAAATATCCGAAGCAAAATAGTTTTTGAGCTGATATGACATATTTCTTACATATACCAGGAACAATGCTCTACAGAATTCTTAACATTGAAATAATTCCTAGAAATTTATTTGGGCAAGGTGAGTTAATTTTACAGTCACTCACTTTTAAACAAGATTCTGACAAGATTTTAATCACACTATTACATACACATGTGTGAAATAGCATGTGACCCATGATGTCATGCAAAATGCGCCATTTATAGGTTATTTACCTGGACACACGATAATATTGTTGACTGAGGAATTCTAGTTCGGAATTTTGTGTTTTATACATATATTCAGAAATATTCAAGTTGTGAATTACGGTGGTCAGGACATAGTTTCCATTATCTGTGTATATACACACAAGTCAGAGTGCAAGTTTAACAAGCAAGTTCTATAATACACATTTCATAAACCCATCCTACAGATCTTTCATGGAGGTTAAGGATGAAGAAATTTACGCATATTTAAACATGTGCCAATGATAACACTATACCCATGTACATGTATGTATTTACCCTGTGGATGTTGTTGTGTATAATAACTCAAATACTTGATAAAGCATACTGTATAAATAATTGTTATTATACATCCACCAAGAAAAAAACAATTGAATTTTGAAGTGAGTAAAAAGCTTACCATCACTTGTTTAAAAATGAATCAGCACTCATTTGAATATAAAAGTTTTCTATATATGGGGTAGACTATGTCACCAACATTGAAGTGTAAAAGGTTACTGATGTCACATTTCAACGCTTTTCTTTGTTTATATTGGATGCAGACGTACTATAGTGTACAAGGAACATAGAATCCTGTCCCTGAACACAATGGTATATACAAAACAAAACAGTTTTCCTTTTTCTTTCGGATGTTATCTCTTGTTAAATTAATACTACAAGCAGGAAAATGATGTATATTAATAAGGTTACCACAAGAATACTAGAAAGTTTGTACTCAGGCAGTATGGGGACACATTAACCTATGCTACACGTCTGGCGATATGATCACCATATCGTCATCGTGCAAATGTTACTCCATTGCATTTCAATAAATATTCAGTCACATATTTTTAAGTTGATTATTAACCTATTCTTTAGAGCTTGTGATGCAAAAAAAAAGTACATTAAACTTGCGAGAGAGTCCAAATTATATACACAGGGGTGATAGCTAAAACTCATCATGGACACTTTTTGCATAGTTGAACATTTTGCTACCAATAAAGAAATCATAGTTGATGAGGACTTCTTTCAGTGAAAGTCTACCGTCGTCATTGATGTCAGCTACACCCATAAGATGCCTGGCCTCACTCTCTGCATTATGTCGACTTTTTGGATCCATGTATACCTAAGTATCAAAAGAAAAAAGCAATTAGAAATCAACAAGTAATTTCATTACATAGTTCCTGTGAATTATTAAACTTACTGTAAAATGACTAATTTTTACTGGGTTCAAATTCTGCTGATGTACCATTACAGGCATATTCAGTCGGTTTCAAATTCACAGTTTTATCATTTAGATAATGTGTTCTATGCTAAATTTTACATAATCACTGGGTTTTAATTTAGCGCATTTTCCAGTTAGTGAAATAATCAAAATTAAAACCCAGTGACTAATTAACAGTCCTGGCTTGTCAGAGATATGACTCTGGACCTGCATTCAATAAAACAAAATAGCTGCCAGTCGGCCATTTTGAATCTGATTTGAAAAACACCAAGTCATTGAAAATGACCAGTCCCCGTTAAATTTTTGAAAGTTTTCTTTGTGCTCGTCATATTAAAGCGGAGGGGATGTCGCGAGCGTGTCCTTGAAACTTGAGTTCCATGTGGCGTATACAACAGATTGTTTATTTACATCAAAACACGTGTTCCGTGTAGTAGTAAGATGGCCAAAAATAAAAACAGTCGTTATTCGGCCATCTTTGATCTGATTATAAAACACACTGATATGTATGATGTATGTGCCGAATACGAATGAAAATGGTACATAAATTGTGGAAATATAGTAGTAAGGCCAAAAAGTCAGATGGCTGTCAATCGGCCATCCTTGACCAGATTTTGAAACAAATTGTCATGGACATGCATCCTAACATGTATAAAGTACATGTATGTGCCAAATTTGAATGAAAACTGACAGGGCACGTCCAAGATACCGCATAAAAAAACAAACAAGATGCCTGCCAGTCGACCAACTTTGATCCAATTGCGAAATGAATCGTCATGAACATGTATCCTAACATGTATAATCTATGTACCAAGTTTGAATGAAAACTGACAAAGCATGTCTAAAATACAACATTTTCAAAAAACAAGATGGCTGCCAGTCTGCCATTTTGAATTGAATCGCTAAACCACTGCATGTGCATATGTCCCACATAAAGTACTAGGCACATGCAAAGAATGAACAGAATCGGTCCAAGGGATTCTGAGATATGACTGTGGGCGGATGCACAGACGCACAGACGGAAGGACGGACGGAGACCGAATTATAAGTCCCCGTGTCCCTGTTTTTGGACTTCGTCCAAACGGGGACTAAAAAGACATGCATCAAGGTGCAGTACATTTCATGTCAAATCAATGCATAATTTAATGCTAAGCAATTATACTTCCATAAAGTTTTATATCAATGCGAAGGAGACTGCCCTCCCTGCACACCAACGATAATTATTATAACTGTTGTAACTGTACCTCTAGTTCTTCTACTGTGACCTTCCCATCTTGATTTACATCAATGGCTTGTTCAAATTCTTTTTTACGTTCTCTCACCCACTCATCTTCTTTTGCCATTCTTTCTAGTTCTTTTTCATGTCCAATAGGAAGTGATACAAACTCAACAACCGTCAATATGCCATCACCATCTTGGTCTGAAAGTGAGAGTGATTTTGGATCAGACATAATGATATATGCTGTAAACTGCATTTCAACTTATATGGAAGATTTCAGATTAATTTTGAAAAATCTGTTCCCTTTTTGTGAATTTTAAGACTGCTATTCGACCATCATAGATTCAATGACAGCAAAAATTACTATTGTTTGGACATGATTGGACAGTGTGAATATAAGCAGAATTTCAACAACAAAAATGAGAATAACCAAAAATGTCTGCCAGACAGCCATATTGTATAGGATCTAGACAAAAAACAACTTGCATTTTCGTGAAATATTACATGCTACTGTACCAAGTATGGATACACTAATGATTTGCAAAAATGACAAAAATTTTTGTTGTACAAAATGGCCATGAGTTGCAACATTGGAAAAATCTCATAAAACAAAAGATGTGCCACAGTATGCAAATAGGTATAACCATTATTTTAAGTTTGAACAGAATAGCACAACTACAATGACAATACTCCAAACACGGTCCAAACATGACAAATTTAGGTTTTTCGGGTAATTGCAAGACAAATAATTATATCATCCCCAGTTGGCCATTTTTAAAAATTGGAGCGTATGTGTACCATCATGCATCAACTGTGTATCAAGTTTGGGGAAAGTTGGCAACTTTTGAGAAAATGTGACAGACAGATGGATGGACAAACAGAACCCAATCCATAAGCCCCTGGACTGTGTACAGTTTGGGGATACATGTAATAATACACATGATACTAACCCAAGTCATGTAATATTTCCTCAACCAATAAGCGTAACATTCCTCTACAATGCTCAGGATGCTTAAATGCTAGGAATTCCTCATGTGTCAGACTGTTATCCTCGTTTTCATCAGCTTGCTGCCATCTGTCTTGATCTCTATATAACTCATAGTCATCTACAATTAATGGAAAAATGAATAATCACATCAAAATAAATAAATTTATGTGAATGTAACATTTGAGTAGGTGTAACTAACCACTTGGGTTCTTTTGTTATTTTTACCGGTAATACTTTAAAATAAAATTTTAAGCAGGTCCAACTCTGACCTTGCCTTTTTTTAAGGTCTTGCAAAACAAAAAAGGCATCTTAGGGTGTCAAATCACGGAATTGCACATGGGATTCTCAGTTAGATGACTAAATATAGACTATATTACAAAATCAATATTCAATGTTAGGCATTTTCCATCAAGATTAGCCTGAGATGCACGTCAGACTCTTGAGTTGTTTTTTGAATAGACTTATGAAATTATACGAGAATACTGCAAAGTATGCCAGAAGGCAGTACAGTGACAGTATCAACCAACTCACAGTAGAGATTGATGTAATTCTGTACTGCCTTACATACTAATTGTCATATTCTCATGATAACTTCATATTAACATCATTATTATAAGTTGTTTAATTTAATTTAATAAACCATTTTCCGTTGACTGAGAGATCCTGTGTGAAATTGAACTAAAAACAGGACAAACAAAGGTCATAGCATTGTAGTGGCTTCCAAACATGTGTGGGGTTCGTCAAACCCAAAAATATTTTTAGGTTTTTCCATGCTTAATTATGTGCTATACACACTTTATGATGATTAATTTCTATGAAGTAGATGTATCTACACGCAATATTCCACTCTCAAGGATCGTCATTACGACATTGAGCTATAAAAAGGAAACATATATTCAAAATCAAATCGTTCAATCTTTGTGACAGATGTTCGGTCCGTGTCTTTCACACAATATGCAAGATCTCGAGGTGAATGGAAAATCACCTATTAATGAGATAACTACACTTACCGTCATCTTTAAGGTCTAGTTTTGACTCTCCATCACCAACTTTTTCAATCAGTGACTGAGAATAGCCTTTGACTTTTAAGAAGTAAATTTTGTATTCAGCCCATGAAATTACTCCTGAGAAAAAAATGTATTTTTAAAATTTATAATATGTATGAAAGTTGACTAACGTAAAAGCATTAAAAGCAGGAAACACCAGAAAGAAAAATTGTACACAGAAAGTAAAAAACAATAAAAGGCAACTACCAATAAAATGATTAAGTTAAAATAATCAATACCATCTTGGTTAGGATCAAATTTGAAAAATGTTTTTTCATTTTCCTCAACAGCCTCCTTATAATGTTCTTCTGTCTTTATTGAAATCCAGTCTGTGAGTTCTAATAATCCTATCTGTTTGTCTCCATCTGTATCCACCCTATAAAGACAGGTAAAAATGAAAGAAAGAAAAAAAAACCTGTTACATTCAATTCATAGGGAGCACAAGCCTTTGGTTAACAGTGTCTGTGATATCCACTGATTATTCTTCCTGTGGAAAACTGAGTTGATAGGCATAGTTTTGAATGAAACGTATGAACCAGAACCAACCAATCATTTTAATAAGATCAGTGACCCATTATTTATATATTACTGTGGAATACTTTATTTTCACTTGGAATTAATTTTCGCCATTTTCGCTGAAGAAATGATTCAGTGAAAATAAAATGCAGCGAATAAACATTTTTCCTATGTTTTACATTTAACTTGTCAAAAATCAGTGAAAATGAATTCCATACAAAACGCTTAAAAAGTGTTCCAGTTAAAATAAAGTATTCTACAGTATCTACTGAGTTTGCTAACTTGTGAGGTACCATTCCCTGGCCAATATATACGCCATCAAATGGTAGATTGCGGATAAGTAATGAGAAATTAACTGCAGAATATAAATTTAAGCAGGCTCGTAAAGTACGGCTGTACAATCCCAAGGATTGTACCAATGTGTGATAAGAGGTTACAAAATAGCACTTTACATCACATTTCTATGTGTAAATTTCCAATGTCCTTTCCTGAATTATACTACTATTTAGACAGTCAACAGTTCTTAGACTTAATGTAAATGTGTCTCCTAGACATTGAACCTAAGGTGTTTGATGGGAAACGCAAAGCATTTTAAGCGAGGGACTATGGCACTCCATACTTCTTTGTGTTTTTTTCTGATTTACAAATCAGAAAACAGGTCCAGAGGGTGGCAATGTTTGATTTAAACACTATGCGGCAATGAATGTGCATGGTCACCACAGAAATCTTTTTGCAAAATGCAAGTTGATCATACACTTACAATCACTACTACGAACTGTGCTCACAGTCGTGTGATCATGATTCAGTTAGATATTTAAGCCAGTTTATTCAGTTTTGAGGTGGATTCACAGGTATTCTAGTGCCAGATATAAAATCTTGCTTCAGCCAATCAAATGGCTAGATTCAGGTTAACCATGTTATTAAGGCAAATATATTTTGAATGACCCGCTCATCTTATGTACATTTATGTCTGTCTTGAAAGGGACTATTGTCGCCGACAGTTTGATTACAAGACGTTATGAAAATTCATACGTCAGTTTAAAATATTCCTATTTTTGTTAACATTCAGACAAGGTTTATTCACTAAGTTAGGGGGGCATTGTTTTTCCTTAACTAATGGTCAGTTACATTGCAGGTAAAAGTTTGTCTAAAAGATACAGAACCTCCAAAATATGTACTGTAAAATATGGAATTAATTTTCTCCATTTTCCCTGAAGGAATGATTAAGTGAAAATAAAATCCAGCGAATATACCTTTTTTCCTACATTTTATATTCAACTCGTCAAAAATCAGTGAAAATAAAATCCATACAGAACACCGAAAAAGTCTATTCAGCAAAAATTACTCCAAGCATTTTGGTTCAAACTCAAACCTTTGCATATTTAATGAATTATATTCAAGCTAAGTTTATACTAAGATAAAGTGATTTGTATTTATTTCAAGTTATATAGTTTGTGAACAAGACAATGTTAAATTGATTTAGTAAAACCCAAGAATGGTTGCACAGTGTTTCATAGACATAGTTTATGAAACTATGTACTAGACATGATTTCATATCTTCGGAAAAATACAAACAAACACTGAGAAAATAGCATCAACACTACCGGTATATATCTCAATGTAAGTACCTGTACAAATGTCTAATTGTCTTGCAGTCCTATGTGTATTTGGAATTCATTTCATCAAATATTTATAAATTCAATTGGTTTTAACAATACAGAAGCAGAGTTTTTGTTAAGAGGCAGTTGTTAGCGAAATAGATGTCTACTAGGCTTGTTTGCTATTTTGTGTTTTTAAGACCCCTTATAGAACAGTGTTATATTTTTACTTCTAGTCTACTCCAGGGCTTAGTGAAACCTCTATAAATTAAAATGTACACAACTTTATTATCAGTATGTGTTTTTCTTTTGATCAATGTAGTCAGCATATTTAAAAAGCCTTTTATTCTTTGTTTTGTATACCATAGTATGTCTTGTTCTTTTAATTATTGAAGAGATTTTGGGAAAAATGGACCAATCATGTTTAGCCCAAATGTGTTAAAAATGCCATTTTAAGAAACAATTTCATGCAATTGCAAAAGAAAGCAATTGCCTATTTAAATGTGTCAATTGAAATTGGTTTGGTTGTATGATGATAGATTACATCAGGGCAGTGGTGTTCTTGCTGGTTCAGTAGTTGTATGATGGCCGGTACAAGACACTCATGTTATTACTATCTATTATGACTGAAACTCGTATGACAGATATGATACATCCTGAAGTCAGTATATTTGTGCATTTTTGTGTATTTGTTTTGAATGAGATTGGTCAAGACATGTCAGAGATATGGTTTTGAAACAGCATTTATTAAAACAAAAAGGTCAGTCAGTCATTTTGGATCTGGTCTGAGAAAAAAATATGTATCAAGGTCACATCATGTTCAATGTATGTACCAAATCTGAATAAGATATGTACATTGTACATACACATACAAGTTCTAGTTCAAGAAAGTAATAGAAGGTAAGTAAAAAAAAAACATTAAAATAACATTAGGATTAGGCAGTAAAAATTAATGCAGTTTGTGTTTTTCAAAATACACTTTCAGATACCGTGTCACATGTCTAATTAGTTTAGGATGGTTAGTATTATTAAAGATACTGAATGAACTTGTTGATATTGTTTTCAGTCTGGAAAGTCGAGATTTCCTTAGTAAATTCAGCGTACATAGTATCCCTTTCATCAGTGTAGTAGCTACAGTCTGTAATGAAATGGACTTCATCTTCAATACTGTCACTCCTACACTTATTACAAATCCTGATGTGTGATGTATGTTTAAAGTTTGAATGTCATCAGTCAAGGTATGTCAGAGATATGACACAGAAACTGCATTTGTTAAAACAAAATGGCTACCAACCATTTTCAATCTAATCTGGGGGAAAAAAAGATGTGCAGAAATGCGTGATTTTGATGAATTTTTAGCACTAAAATGGTCTCCATGTGGCCATCTTGAACTGGATCATGGAACAAATGCATGTGCATATAAATATAGTATGATGTATGTGAAGTTTGAATGAAAGACACACAAATGAATACATGCACAGATGCACAGAAATTAAATTACAAGTTCCCGTTTTCGAACTATGTGCCAACAGGACCTTATTAAGATATATAACAAAACAAGTTACAGCTTACCAGAAACACACTATTTTTTTGTATTTAGCCTAAACCAGACTTTGACAAACGTGGCATGCAAGTAAACCCAAACAAACCAGTCACTATTTTGCTTGTGTTGGGACAGGGCTCCCAGGCAATTCAAAAATTAAATTCATGAATGTGCTGTCTGTCTGTAATCTGAATGATACGATTATTCATACACAGTTCATGCTTGTACATAATAATTCTTAAGCCACATATTGTGACTTTTTTGCACTTCTAATTTTTACTTACTGTTGAAATATATCTTTCAACCTTTCTTTGCCTTCCTTTTCGGGAATATTCTCAAAATCCTCGTGTTCGTTTCCCAAAAATACCTCTTTCCTGAATTCTTGATTGAGGTGTCCATCTCTTTCAAGTTTCAACCCCTCAATGTGATCCGGTGGAAATGGTAAGTCGTTTTCCTTGTCGTTTCGCACATTATCCCGGTCATTTTTAAGAAGTAACTTGGAAGCATTTACGGGAAGTCCTTGGGGGCAGGGGACCATAAACACTACAAGAAACGTACACACACATAAGAAGGTCCTACACCGAGCCCGGAAGTCCATTCGAAGCAGTGGGAGGTACGATTCCATTTTTTAAAATTATTGTTGATTGTCTGCGTAATTCTGATAAAACAAAATATGTTATAATAAATCCAAGTAACTACGGACTGTGATAGCGGTTAACAGTCACGCACTTAAACTAAATATCAACACAGCTGTCACAACGTCTTTAGAAAGGCGCACGCAAACAGGTCATAGAAACAGGTTAGGTTGTTTGCAGAGCATTCACTCCACTCCTAGAAAAGCGCCACCCATGGCATATTTTCGCCTTTTTTGTTGGCGTTTTCAGGACAGTGTGTTTCCCATCACAACTATTGTATTATGGCGAAAAAAACACAATTATTTCAACAATTAGAATTATTAATATTAATCTATTATTCATTTTCATAAAAAAATGCATGTATTGCAATTTGAATGGAATAATTACAAAAATATCTGAAAATAAAATAATCACAATCACAATATAAAGCTGAATCGGTCACATTGAACATGTTGCCTAATATGATTATTAAATTCGCATGATACTATCGCTTTTAAAGTAGACGCCTACTCATGAAAGCAAATATCTAGGTTTTATTCATTTTGCGATAAATTGTATTCCCATAAAAAAGAATATTGACTTAAAAAGGGTTGGGGTCACCAGCCTAATTTTCGAGAAATTGATGGTTGTATTTAAGTGGAAAGTCGCCATTTTGACTCTATTATAACACTTTTACCACAGGTTCCTGTGGCAGAGATATTATGCAATATCTCAAAATCTAGCCTGGTGACATAGGCTGAAAAAATCATATTGTTAATGATGGAGTACATTTTGTTGTTCTGAATTATTTTAAAAATCTGGGTTTTAAAAAGTGTCAAAAAATGCAATTTTTCTTTAACAATTCCCGCGCGTGCGCAGGTGACGATCCTCCCGCTTTAAAGCATTATTGTACAACAAAATAAGAATTTTCATCAGAATTTTCTAATATCTTATCAACCATAAGAACCGATCTTCTTACAACATATGTGTTTTCACATGGCCCGGCATACAACAAAAATGAAACTGAAAAGTAACACTGCGGGCAAAGGGTTATGTCTTTTGAAACAAAGTTACTGTGCAGAGAAGTAATATACTAGTAATGAGCGGAATAAGATATCGCATTGAGTAGAGGACATTTTCAAATTACGTCATCACGCCTTGCGCTCGTTGATTGGCTGATTCAACTGCTATTACAATTTATAAATATTTATAAAAATAAAGGTGTAACGGTTTTTTTTGTGTGTCAATAGTATCAGTATCCTTAGACATAAAATGATATGCATGAAGATATAGATTAAATCAGAGGTACATTACTTGGGGTTTGAAACTCGCCTAGTACTGTATGGTGACATCATGTCAAGATCCCATTCAAGTCTCTTCTCGTAGATAGCGAGACTGAGGCTACGACCTTCTGACATGACACATATCAATGTTCAAGGTTTGTAATGAAAAAATAAAACTTTTCTTGTCACTATCATAGTGAAAAATGTAATACATCGAAAATTTACAGAAAATATAGTTCTCGTAATCCGTCATATCGTGGACAGCTATTTTGATCCACCTGGACATCCCAGTATCCTAGTTACTTCGGGCATGCGCATTCGCATTTGGAACGCTTATGCGAGAGCGAGATTGTGACGGGATCTTGGTATCATGTCACCGTAGTTACAAACCCCAAGTAATGTACCTCTGATTAAATGTTGATGAAGAATTTTATAATAAACATGAATTTATTTATTGTTTAAAATATTTAGGAATATTTTATTTGAATTGTATATATACATATGTGAAAGTTGTTGGCATGAAATCTACAGCGACACATTGATATTCCGAAGATTTGCATAAACTGCCCTCTGTGATAATTTGTGGTATATATAGACTCGAACCTCAGACAACTAATATTAATTGTCTGGGTCCGAACGAATGACATTTAGATATCGCGAGACAGTCATTCATGTATTGATGTGTATTCACCGCACTAAAAAAAATCCGTCATTAAAATAGGGGTGACAATTTGGGGTGTAAAACGAGTTTAGGGTCAAAAACCTATTTTCCTCATCAAAACCCTATTCAGGCTCGAGCATGGGTACTAGGTTTTCCTCTGGGTTGCCCCGGGCTTGCTCTCACATATCTATAAAGCAATGTTAGCCTAGACTATTAAGTAAAAACATATATCAGTAGATGAAACATATGATATATTGGAAATAACAAATTAACCACCCTAAAGATAAGAAGATCTCGGCCAAAAGTAGTACGTGAAAACAGAATTTGTAAACAAATATCACGCTTGAAAAATAAATAGATAATAAATAAGCGAACAAATACAAAAGTAAATAAATAAATAATCATAGACTTTTATGTAGGACATAAAGTAAATCGGTGGTATGTGAATGCCTGAAAGTTGTTGGTAACAATTATGAAATTCTATTCAATTTACCGCCACTTATTCTGAATTCATCAATGCAATTATTCTGTCATTATTTATGTTTGTTTTTGAGCTATGCTGTCATGTTATATCATACTATATGCTCTGACAGTATAATCGTGTAACAAAACATATTGATTGGTCTGTTATTGGGACGATGGTATGCTCTACCCCATCGTATATGTAGTCACCCAAAACGCACTAGCAGTATCTTTGAGAGGTCCGAATCATTCTCGGTGTTGTGGGGGTGTCCCCAGACCAGAGCTATAAGAAGGTAGAGGGATGAGCCTTCAACAATGAGTGCGTTTTTTATACCAATGTTTTGACAAACTCCATACCCATATTTTTAGCAAAGTACATTTTTGTCAACTAAAATTTTGCAAATATATTTACCTTGAATTTATACCTATTTAGACAGGAAATAGGACCTACTAGTATTTCAACGGCACGTTCCCAATAGATAATGTCTACATAGTGTCCTCCGGGGTGTATGTTTGTTGTCGCCCTCATATCCAGCAAATATGCGCTGTGGGTCATGGCACTCAGACAAAATTTTATGTAATACCACATTTATTTTTTTATTTATGCAGCTCCTATTTATTAGTAATGATCCCCTGAACAGGGTTGCAATAAATTAGTAAATTGTTTCTGTAGGAACAAAAAGACAAGTCGTTAATCGACGCAATTACACCATGATTACTTTGAAATATGCCCGAAACTTAGCATAGTACATTAACATTTTTTTACATGTTCCCCTTTTTATTTAGTCGTTAGCCGTTAACCGATGCAATTATTACACTGGTATAAAATGCGCGAATTAAAATTATTTCTACCGTACACAACAATGAAACTATTGTACCAGTATTTTATTAAAACGTCGACGGTTATTCGCGAGTTTTATTAGTCAAGTTGATAAACGCCGAGGTTGGCTTTAGGTGAAGAATAACTCAACCACACCTTAAAAGACGTAAAATCTCTTGAAACAAATAGAAAAAATGCACGTGGTTTGATTTCTATAATTTGTGGTAAGCTTTCAGTAGCTTTTTAGAAACACAACATTGTATATAATTAATATAGTATTAGGGCCCAATTTACGCTAATTTATTTTAAATTTCGACCATACTTTTAAATTGAAATAGAAACACAACATTGTATATAATTAATATAGTATTAGGGCCCGATTTACGCTAATTTATTTTAAATTTCGACCATACTTTTAAATTGAAATAGAAACACAACATTGTATATAATTAATATAGTATTAGGGCCTGATTTAACTTAGGTGTCCTGATGTGATTGGAAGTATATTAAAATTTTGCTAAAGCAGTTTTAATTTATTCGCCATAACTATTTTCAAATATTTTGTCTGGAAGTTTGTTTCTAGGTTGAGTTTTATTTTTTTCAAGACATTTTATCACTGAATAATAAAATTATTATTACATTATTTTTTAAAAAAAGAATCAAAGATGTCAATTTTTAATTTGTATTTCAATTTCTACGTAGACATTCCATATGTAATATTTATATATATATATTTTTGGTATTTGTGATTTCTTGTAATTGTCTTGTACAGTGTGTGTTTTTATATTGCTCGATTGTATTAGCACCTGGTGTGCTACTTTATTTTTATTCGAGGGTAAATAAATAAATGTAATGTAAATGTAAATTATGCATTATATCTTTACTTTCATTGCTCCCCTCTTCCAGGAAGCAAAAAGTTCATGCAATATTGGAAGTGAAACTGGGGAAAACAAACACAATACTAGTAAAATATTTCAAAAGTTTTTCCTCAACTCAATTTTTTGAATTGTTGTAGCTCTGTGTTTTACTGTGTCAAGTTACCAAAAAATGCTAATATTAAAGGAAAAATAAAGTTTTAT